CGCGTGCTGGGTTGGGGCCGGTCCCGGAGAAGGAGGGTGAAGGCTCTGAGCCACCGTGCAGTGCGTCCACAGCTTGCCGGGTCTGCGTCCTGCCTCGGAAGAGGGTGACTCACGCACAGTGTGGTCGCGCAGGCGAAAGGAAAGGTTCTGCCGGAACAGTCCCGGGGCCTCAACCCCCCCAGGGAGCTCTGCTGTCTCTGCCCTCCCGCCTGGGCCCCAGGCCCCCCTGGAGCTGCTTGCTTTTGCACTTTTTCAACGGCAGAAGGTGGGACCATGTTTGGGGTTTGTGCCCGTGGGGGCTGGAGCTCGGAAAGAACATGGGGAGTCGGGTGCGCCCGTGCCATGGGGAGCTCGGAGGGACCCAGGAAACCAGCTGGAGAGCAAGTCATGTGGATCATTGCCAGGCTGACCCAGATGGTGGCACAGAGATGATCAAGGGTCACCTCCTTCCTCCAGGATGTTCGTCGCCTCCCTGTGCTTCCCAGGTGGGGATGGTGGCCCAGCCGAGACCTCACTTGCGGCCACTTCCTCCAGGAGGCTGCCTGTGGTCTCCTGGCAGGACTGAGGACTGAGCTCAGCCTGCTTGTTTTTGTGCAGCACCTGCCCTACGCCCAGCGGGTGCCCGGTGGCTGCGAAGTCCGAAGAAGACGGTGTCCTCGCTGGTGTTCGTGGCACCTGTGGCATCTTTTTGGGGTGGCTCACAGCAGGGAGACGTGTGGTTCGAAATACCTGTAGTTTCTGCCTCCTGGTTTCTCCTCGCTGCCTCCACGTCCTGGGGAAAAGGAGGTGTCTTGAGGCCCAGACAGAACGATTTGGAGACTCCGGCGTAGGATTTGTCCAAGTGACCCTTTGAGGACCTCTCAAAGCTGGAGCCAAAGGTCACTTCCCTTGCTTGCCCTCTGCTTTCAAGCCTGACGGTCTCGCCCCCTCTTGTCTTAGGGGACAGGCTCTGGGAGAGCGGCTGTGGGGGCTTGGACATCCGGAGAGGGCACTGGACAACGCGTGTTTCTCTGGTTGGGGTTCAGTGGGAAACTGGGATGTGCTGTAGATGCCCTGCGGTCAAGTTCGTGGGTTTCACACCAAAACCCGCCCCCTCCCCCCCACCTCCTTCCCAGCCGGGCACCGTGCCCGAGGATATGTAACATCTCTGTTCCTGTGTGACGGAAGAAGGGCTATTTCCCTTTCCTGCCAACTGAGTCTCGTCGGGTGGCGAGTGTGCACGGGCACAAGCATGTGCTTGTGGGTCGGTCTTCTCCCTGGCAGCCCAGCTCTCGCGAAACGGCTTCCACGTGTCCCTCTCTCTGGCCTCCTTTTCACACCGGTTGTCGGAGCCCACGCTGAGCTTTGACCCTTCCTGCCGATGATGCTCGTGGGGCTGGGTGTGGGTGTGGGTGCCCCGCCCGCCTCCGGCCGCTGAGGTCATTACCCACCGAAGCGAACATCCTGCACACGCGTTTGTCGGGGCCTAGATGAGGCGACAGAACGTGCCAGCGGACGAGGAGCGAGACCTCAGAGGTTGCAGAAGGCTGCCCAACCGAAAGCCGTGATCGGACTCGAGGCGCCAGCTGGGGGACGTGTTTGACCTGCACTCACGGGGCTCCTGCCACTCTGACTATGGCCTCTCCCCGCCCCCCTCCCCCGGCCCCCCGAAAACCACCTGGGACCAATTTTGTTCACTTGGCATAGTTGTTTGTGGGCGGGTTTCCCCTCCTCATTCTGTCCGGAGACCGTGGGTGAAGCTCGTTGTTTGCGGGCAGCAGAGGAACGGCCGCACCAATGATGTTTTTCGTTTGTAATACTTGAAATTTATTTTTTTATTATTTTGATAGCAGATGTGCTATTTATTTATTTAATATGTACAAGGGAGCCTGAAAATAGAAAGCTGTATAGATTGGGTGTAGTTCGGTGGTTGGTTTTGGGGGGCCTTTTACGTGTGACTCATGACTTCTCTGTGTTCTGTATAGTTGTCTGAATTAATGACCTGGGATGACGCTGTGCCAGCTTTCAAACAGGGGATGCTTTTCAGAAATTTGTATATTTTGCAGTTGCCAGAACAATAAAATACCTGATTGAAATACGCTGATGAAGTGCGCCCCTGGTCCTTTCTGGGGGGTCGGGGGGGGGGGGAGGCGGGAAGAGAAGTCTTCGGTTGACGCTTGTGGTCCACGCACCGGGTGGCTATCGCCGGGCTCCTGACCGACCTGCCAGCCGTCATCTTTAAACAGGACGTGCCAGTACCGATTGCCAGCATTGATGCGTTACGGTTGACTAGAATCCGTGGTGAACACTAGGGCTCCCTCTGGTTCCACGGGTTTTGGCCAATGCATGCCCGTGTAGATGTCCATTACCACAGACAGAGCGCCCAGCAATTCGCACCCCCTTCACCCCGTGTCCTTTCCCCTCAGCCCTTTGAACGGCAGCAGTGTCGCTTACACAAGCATCGCCCAGTGGGACGGGCCCTGGGCGGATTACAGGAAGCCATTGTGTTTCAGGTTCTGGGTTCCTTCCACCACCCCCCCCCCAGCCCCTTTCTGGTTTCTGCTGGGGGAAAACAGTCCACGTCTAGGACCAGTCTGCCACACCTCGAGCAAGTTACTCTCCTTCCGCACCTTCATCCCTACCGATGAGGACGCTCGCAGACCGGGCTGAGGGCTGAACGAGAGCCCGGAGCATTTCCTTCAGGCAGAGGATTGGCGCCAGCAGTGCCCTCACCGGGTCCGAGTTTTCCTCCACGGGCCCCACTGTTAAAGACTCCAGAAAGAGCCCTAGTTCTCCCAAATTCGTCTTCGGGCGTCCCTGACGCGTTCTCCGCCCCAGGTGTAAAGAGTTGGGCACCTCCATTTGAAACGGCTCCCGAGGTTCTCTGTAACTGGCATGGCGGGCAGAGCATTTGGGTAAAGGGCCTTGTCCGGTGACTGGGGTGCGAACACCCCCGTGCGGGCCGGGCTCGGCCCACCCTTCAGGCCAGCCTCTCAAGTTCTGAGCCCACGCTTCAGCGCTCGCTGTGCGTTGGGTGCAGGGCTTGGAGACGTGGCCTTCGCAGATGTGGGTCCTCACCCCCAGGTCGGGCCGGTCTCTCAGGTCATGGCCCCAGGAAATTAGAAGGCCGTCCTGAAGGAGGATGTGTGCACGCTTTCAAAACCTGGGCCTGCGGGGTGATGGGAGTCCGCAGGTGTCGTGACCTTTTGGGCAAACTCTGAGACCCATCTGTGTGTGACCTTGGGCCAGAGCTATAATTACTGGATAAATATTGACGAAAGGGTGACCAGGTGGGTGAGTCGGGGGGGAGGAGAGGGGCAGGAAGCCGCAGGACGGTGGATGCCAGAAGGAAATGGATTCGTTCACTGGGTCCCCAACGTGAGCCAGACACCCTGTGGCTCTTTGTACCTTGAAAGCCAGAGCAGGAGTTCCCCTGTAGCAGATACAGTCATTGTGCTAAGTACTAACAGCTACAAGACTAAATAAATACTGAGTTAATGATCTTCAAGTGATCCTTCGGGGCGCCCTGGGAGTTAACCTGCTGTTGCCAGGCCCGTTTTGCAGATAAAGAATATGAGACTCCCCGAAGGAAGGCAACTTAGCCCTGAGCGTGGCAGGCCGGTTTTAGTGGTTCCGATCCAGGTCTCTGGGACTCTCAAGCTTGTGGCCTCAACCGCTGTAAAATGTCGCCTCCACGTGGCCTGGGTCTTTCCACAGTAACGGGAGTTAGCAGTGCAACAGGTGAGGCGTCCGGTGGGCTTTAAAAGCTGCTTGCCTGTCGGGCCGGGAGGATGGGCTGGCCCTCCCCACGTGCTCCCTGCGGTGCTCGGCTGCTGCTCAGGTGGTCAGGGTCTCCAGAGGAGTCAGCAGCAGCAGCAGCAGCAGCAGCACGTCAGGCCCAGATTTCCGAAATCCCCAGGTCATGCCCCAAATCTGTCTTGGCAGAAGTTCCTCCAAGAATTTTACTGGCACTTCCAAGAGGCAGCAGATAGATAGCACTGGGCCAGAAAGGTGGGCGGCCAGCGAGGGGTGGGGAGCGAGCATGAGGGCGTTTGGAGGGGCTCACGGCGAGAAAGCAGCTGGTGGCTTTGCTCTCAGCAAGGCAGGGCGGTACCTGCGTTCTTTAAAAAAAATTCTTTTTAACGTTTTATTTGAGAGAGTGCAAGCCCGAGAAGGCCAGAGAGAGAGGGAGACACAGAATCCAAACCAGGCTCCGGGCCCTGAGCCGTCAGCCCAGAGCCTGATGTGGGC